GACGTCAGATATAGCTCTATCTATATACTTGATGTAATACAGTCGAAACTCCGGTTGCAAGCCTGCGACCACCTCCCCTCAGCGACCAGTTTTCTAAAATACCAAAAGTTTCCAAGTCAAATCACTATATTTGGAACTCTTGTAAACTACCGTCTCTCGTAAGGACCGTAAGCGACCGGGACCACTTTTAAAGCTAAAAGTTTAACCTCTCGTAAGCGACCACTTGACAAACAATAGAGCGGAAATTGGATAAAAAGGTGTTGTAACATTATCGCATTCTTGGGCAGTACAAGAGACGGAAATTTCTCAATAGGAAGTACCGGAGTTTTTTTTCTCAAAATTGACTTTTCACATGGATAAGACATTTAAAACACAGGATAAGTCTCTGAAGTCACCATATGGTGTAAGCTCTCGTAAGCGACTACTTCCCGTAAGCCACCACCTGTGCTTGACATTTGGGTGGTCGTTTACTGGAGGTTCAAATGTATTGGGTTGAGTGTATGACGTCATCAGCTCTCTCATTTGCATATTTTAATTTTAAACTTAAATTCTCCGGAACTGTTGCAGATATTTGCCAACGGTGAACGTCAGTTTTAATCTTATGTAAAATTCTATGTGATAATCCCAAAAATTCAAGGGATGAAACTTTGCACTGTAGTAACACTTTAAACGTGACACATCTTAGGGGAGGGACGCAGCAGCGTTGAGTTTCGATTTGTTTAGAGCATCTTCACAATTCAACAAGACATCCAAATTTTGGTCGATGAGACTTCCAGAGCATATTTTCGGTATTTATAAACTAGTTTTTCGGTGGACCCTGAGTTTTAGTTACTACAAAGTTTGATGAAGCCGTCAATCGCGAAGAGAATTGAAATATTTCCGCAACTGGTGGGTAATACTAAAGGTAAGTTTCGTTTGATGGACTTAACACTAACATAGAATTATTCCCCCTAAAATTAAATACAATTAAAAGAAAAAGCGTTCTTAGAAACATGTTTTGAATTCTTCTTCCACTGGAATTCTGGAGCGTTTCCGTTCGGAAATGCGGCGGCGTTGCGTGACACTCAAGC